ACCCCCAGGGTCCCATCCTGACCCCCCCGCCCCCCCCGCAGGCAAGGGAGAGCCAAGGGCCACGTGTAGAGTGCAAAAAATAAATATAAAATTTATTAAAACACCCACAATATTTTAAAGATATCAGGAATAATACATTTCGCGGCCCGGCCGGCCGCGCGTAACTTAGAATAAAATACAAATTAAAAAAAAATAATAACCAAAACAAAACAACAAACGAGGGGAAAAAAACCAACAAAAAACAAAACAAAAAAATAAAAACAAAACCAAAACTGGGGAAGGAAGGAAGGGGAAGGATCCAAACTTGCAATTTTTAGGCATCCTAAAAAATAAATTTACCAAAACACTGAGGGGGAAAAGGAAAAAGAAACGGGTGTTAAAGGGGTGGGGGGACACAAAACACAAAGGTGGGGAAAAAAGAAAAAGGGAAAATTATACAAAATAAAATTATCAGCATAAATTTACTGTCCTAGAAGTATCTACAGTTTAATACACATTAATCCTATTGCCTTGAGACATGGGAAAAAAATCTACCGGTCCTCGATCCGCCCCGGAAAAAAACTTCATTTCAAGTAACCACAGTCCCGAGCCGACCAAGAAATCTTCAAGTGTGAATTTTTCGGAGCCGCCGGGACACCCCCGCGGTGTCCCCCCACCTCCGCCTGCCGCCGTCCCACCTCCCCTCCTCAATTATCCCAAAAACCAAAAAAAAACTAAAACAAAACCCAACCCAAAAACCACCAACAAAAAAATAAACACCCAACAAAAATGCCAAAAATAACCCCCCCGCACACCTCCGAATTCCCGAATCTGAGAAGAAACGGAGTAAAAAGAGATAATGGAGCACTGCATGAGTGGACTGAATGCAGAAGGGATGGAGAAGGGAACAGTCAATCATTCTCAGCAGTGCTTAGAAAGGCGAAAACAAAACTGACGCTTCTTGATATACAGTCTCAGACTTGACGATGCCTTTGTTTTTTGCCAAAAAACCCCAACCATTAAACAAAATAAAGTGGTCTTCTCCCTCTGCAAGATTAATTTTTAAAAAATGCAGAAAATGCATGCACATTCCCACATGTCCTTTTGCTGACTGTTTTCAGAGCTAGTTCTCAGCAAAGAGCACATTGGACCGATCTATCTCTGGTATGCACCCAAAGAAGCAACCCAAAAGAAGAGGATTTTTCCATTTTATGTAATCTAAAATATGTGAAATAGCCTATTGGAGAAAATGGAAAGAGAGGAAAGATCACCCTTCACTTTAGATAGTTCATTTAGATTCCCTGAACAAATATTTGAATACTTGCCAGTGTTGCTCCTGGATATATTAATAACTTAGAACAAGTCATAAAATAAAATTGAGGGACACAATAATATTTTGTATAATTTGTTTCTTAAATTATGTTACTTGAGAAAATAAACTTACAGATATATTCACCTACATTTGACTAGTTATGGGAGGGCGGCCCTGCGTGCGCCGGGGGTGTCGGTGCAGCGTGGGGGTGAGGGGTGCCTGCGCGCCGTGCGGCGGTGAAGCACCGGGGCCAAGCGCCACGGGGGTGCACGGTGCCCGAGCACCACGTCTGTGCCGGGACAGCGTGCCCCAGCAATGTTTCTGCGCGTGGCGGGTGAGCACCACGCTTAAGCACCGTGTCCACGCGTGGTTGGTGACCATCATGCCCAAGCAGCACGCCTAAGCACCGTGTTCACGCACGGTTGGTGACCACCATGGCCAAGCACCATGTTCACACATGGTGGGTGACCACTGTGCCCACAAACCATGCCCGTCCATGGTGGGTGAGCATCATGCCCAAGGACCACGGCCACCGTATGGTGGGTGACCACCATGCCTGAGCACTGTGTTTGTACATGGTGGGTGACCAACACGCCCAAGCATCGTGTCCACGCATGGTTGCTGACCACCATGCTCAAGCACCAGGGCCAAGCACCGTGTCCGTGCACAGTGGGTGACCACCATGCCCAAGAACTGTGTCTGTCCATGGTGGGTGAGCATCGTGCCCAAGGAGCATGGCCAAGCACCGTGTCCGTGCATGGTGGGTGACCACGGTGCCCAAGAACCATGTCCGCCCACCGTGGGTGAGCATCATGCCCAAGGAGCATGGGCAAGCACCATGTCCATGCATGGTGGGCAAGGACCATGGCCAAGCACCATGGCCAAGCACCATGGCCAAGCGCTGTGCCTGTGCATGGCGGGTGAGCACCGTGCCCAAGAACAGCGTCCATCCATGGTGGGTGAGCACCATGCTCAAGCACCATGGCCAAGCACCATGTCCGTGCATGGTGGGTGAGCACAGCGCCCAAGCACCGTGTTTGTCCATGGTGGGTGACCACCATGCCCAAACACCACAGCCAAGCACCGTGTCAGTGCGTGGTGGGTGAGCAACCGGGCTCAAGCACCATGTCCACGCATGGTGGGTGACCACCATGCCCAACCACCATGGCCAAGCCTCGCTGCCGTGTGTGGTGGGTGACCACCGTGCCCAAGCACCGTATCTGTGGAGCATGCCCAAGCACCGTGCCCAAGCACCGTGTCCAAGCACCATGTCCATGCACCATGCCCTTGCACGGTGCCTGAGCACCCTCTCCGTGCCCATGCACCCTTTTCAAGCACCACGGCTGTGCACCGTGGCTGCGCACCGTGCCCGAGCACCACATCTGAGCACCGTGTCCAAGCAGCATGTCCATGCATGGTGCCCGAGCACCGCACCGACATACCATGCCCTTGCACCATGCACGATCACCGTGCATGCACAACACCCCCATGCACCGGGCTGAGTGCCCTTCCCGAGCATCGTGTCCACGCACCATGTTCAAGCACCGTCGCCGAGCACCATGTCCAAGCACCACGTTCACAGCCCCTGGCTGAGCACTATGTCCACACACCTTGTCCAAGCACCGCGGCCGAGCACCAGGTTCACGTATCGCGACTGAGCACCATGTCCACGCACCATGTCCGAGCACCATGTTCGCACCCCCTGGCTGAGCACCATGTCCACACATCATGTCCAGGCACCGTGCCCCAGCACCATGCCCACGCACCATGTCCAAGCACCGTGGTTGAGCACCGTGTCCATGACGCATGGCCGAGCACCGTGCCTGAGCACCATGTCCATGCACCGTGTCCAAGCACCACGTCCATGATACGTGGTCAAGCACAGTGCCCGAGCACCGTGTCCATGCATCGTGTCCAAGCACCGTGGTCGAGCACCGTGGCCAAGTACCATGTTCACACACCACGTCCAAGCACCATGCCCAAGTACTATGGCCATGATGCGTGGCTGAGCACCGTGCCCGAGCACCATGTCCACGCACCATGTCCGAGCACCACGGTTGAGCACCGTGCCTGAGCACCATGTCCACGATGCACGGCCGAGCACTGTGGTCGAGCACCATGTCCACGCACCATGTCCAAACACCGTGGTCAAGCAGTGGCCAAGCACCATGTTCACGCACCTTGGCTGAGCATCATGGCCACACACCATGTCCAAGCAACTGTGCCTGAGCACCATGTCCGTGATGTATGGCCAAGCACCATGCGCGAGCACCATGTCCACGCACCACGTCTGAGCACTGGGCCTGACCACCATGTCCATGATGTGTGGCCGAGCACCATGCCTGAGCACCACGTTCACGCACCATGTCTGAGCACTGGGCTTGAGGACCATGTCCACGCACCACATCTGAGCACCATGCCCCAGCACCATGTCCATGATGCGTGGCCAAGCACCATGCCAGAGCACCATGTCCACGCACCATGTCCAAGCACCATGCCCGAGCACCATGTCCATGATGCGTGGCCAAGCACCGTGCCCCAGCACCGTGTCCACGCACCATGTCCAAGCACCGTGCCCGAGCACCATGTCCACGATGCGTGGCCAAGCACCGTGTCCCAGCACCATGTCCAAGCACCGTGCCCGAGCACCATGTCCATGATGCGTGGCCAAGCACCGTGCCCCAGCACCATGTCCACGCACCATGTCCAAGCACCACGGTCGAGCACCATGCCCGAGCACCTTGTCCACGCACCATGTCCAAGCACCGCGGTCGAGCACCATGTTCACACCCCCTGGCCGAGCACCACGTCCACGCACCACATCTGAGCACCACGTCCACGACGTGTGGCCAAGCACCGCGGCTGAGCACCCTGTCCAAGCACCACGTCCGCGCACGGCTCTCCTACCGGCACCCCAGCCCCGCACCGGAGGGGATCGGTCAGACACCTCCAACGCGGCACCGATTTCAGTTTGCATAAACCCAACCGGCTCCCGGCACGCTTCGAGCTGTCGCTCCGGAAAAGTAAACTTCCTTCTCAACGACATTGCTTTTTTTTTTTTATATATATTTTTATCTTTTTTTCTCTTGGTTCCCTAGTTTCGTATATACATTAGTAGCACCTCAGCGAGATGGAATCAGGCAGAAGCGTGATACAGTTTGTTAAAACACCATAGCACCGTTTTTATTAGAAGATTTCATTTAATAAAAATATGCCTTATAGAGCCCACAAAGCATACTCCAGTATTAAAAGGAAAAATCAGCAATTGAGGCACCTCAGGGATTCTGGTTTCCTTCTCCTTTCCGTGCCTCATCCCCAGAGCGTCGAGACGGGGGGTGGGGGGGACACCCCGAAATGTGTCCCCCGTTCCCCGCCCGAGGCGAAGCATCGCGGCCGGAAAAACCGAAGCCGGGTGGCAAGGAGCCCGTCGGGGCTCCCCGCGCCGAGCTCTCCCCAGGGTTTCTAACCGCGGGCGTTGTTCTAGCACCATTGTGGCCATGACCTGCTGCAAAATAAGGTCCCCAGCCCACCCCGAAGCGATTAAAAACATTCTCCCCCCCCCAATTCCCCAAGCGAGTTCCCCTTAACGCCGTGGCTTCGGCACGGGTGGGACGAGCGCGGCCGCCGGGACGGGTAAAGGAAAAGATTTTGCTTGAAAAACAGCCTCTCAGCAGCAAGGGGTAAAGAGCTGTGCATAGATTTCTAGTTTTTGTAGAAGAAGTCTGAAGCGTGCTAATTTTTAATGACTGAGATTTGAGGTAGGTTAGACGTTATGTAGTGTAAAAACGTTGAGACTGCAGCAGTTCTCGCTCCCCGACCCGCGACGCCGGCATCTCCCTGTTCACCCGGGTCGAACCCGCCGGAGCCAACGCCGCGCCGGATCGAATTCCCGAAAAAAACCCTCCGAGGAAGCAGGACTTAGACAGGTTACACGGACCCTCGCCTTCTCCGAACGCATCCCTTTTCCTCCCGACTCCAAGCCCATCCAGGCGAAGCTCACAAGGCACCCCGGCCACCGCATCAGACCAGACCCCGCGGCGATGCAAACCGGGGCCGGCACCCGAATCCGGCCCCGCTGAACGCCGCTGGCGGGGAGCAGCCGGGTCCCCTTTTCGCCATCCGAACCACAACGCCACAGCGGGTCCCCGGCGCCGGAACCGGCATCGCCCGCGGGCATCCCTAAAATCTGACTTGCCATCGACTCTTACAATCCTGATATGCTATTGGGTATTTATAAGAAAAGCGGTAATAGCTCGTTGAGTTTCCTTGTCAGCGATTTTAGGGTTTACGTTTTTTTTTAAAAAAAAAAAAAAATTAATTATGAAGGACGGACAAAGCATGTTAAATATTCTGCCAGTATTTACAGTTCTCCCACAATAATCTTGTTTAAAACATACTGCTTTCAAGTTGTTGGGGGTGAGGGGGGTGAGGGGGAGGAGAGGAAAGAGGGGAGATGTTTGTTTTTTTTAAGTTTCGCTTTCGTTTTTTA